TGGGAGGGGCGTTTGGGAGGGGATGGGGAGGGGAGGGGGCGCGGTCTTCGAGCGGAGGGGGGAAAGGGGGAAGCCGCGAAGGAGGGGGAGGAGAGGAAGCTGTAAAGAGATTTAGGAAATTGGTGACGGGACACCGTATAAAATACACCGCTGCGCTAGCGAACGGTGGCCGACCCCTCGGCGGGGAGGGGCGGCGGCGCTGGGGAGGCGGTGGTGGAAGGGGGATCAGAGAGGGTGGAGGGAGATCAGGGGAGGCGAGGCCGTGGCTGAAAGCGGCGGCGGCGTGACCAGAAAGGAGATCGATTTACACGTGAGATTTCCGGGGATTAGTTCACTCATGAACGCCGACCTGCATGGCGAGTTGCTAGGGCGTGTGCCGACTCAGCGCCTCGGTCCGCGGGTCACGGGATCTTGTCCCGCCTTGGACATGGTTGTGTGTCCCTTGTCACGCATGTTATGTGTTGTCGCGGAGGGCTCGCGACTCCAGATCGGGGGGGGGGACGCAAATGTGTTGGTGTCTAGTGCACGGATGAATGTGCGCCCCACCGGGACGTAAAGGGGAACCGGTAGTCGGCTGGATAAAGCCCTAGGATGAAAAGCAACCTGCCCTAATGAGTTTCAAGAATTCCTCTCGACCAATCTACAGAATAACAAGCTGTCATTGCAAATTTTCCGATCGGGAGGTTCTAGAGTTCGAGTTCCGACGGTGACAGATTTCAGTCCTGGCTAGGTCAAATTCAGGCCCTTTCTGCAGAAGCATTCAAGCGGCCGCTACTCTGATCGGTAGAATATGTATGATATTTCTTTGGTATGATATTTCTTATTAAGTATGATATTTATTTTCTTAAACCTTGCTCTCTCTCTTTATACACACATACACACTGTTATATATGCACTGCACTACCACATATCTGGAGACGAGAAAGGACTTTGGAGCTTGTCCCGGCTGGCGGGTGACCATCTGACTGAGAGGAGGGGGAAACCACCCAAACCAAAGATTATGTCCGGGACATGACATGCACTACGGGCCAATGCTCGTCAGTAAACGCTCCCAGAAACACAAGTAATCAGTTAAAATGAATCGACTAATCACAGTCATTTTACCCAGCAAATCTATCGCAAATCTACGTTTTTTTCACTTTCGTTTTCCCCGCGATATTCCCTTCTTTCTAATATATTGTAACGTTTCTCCGTGGTGAATTAAAACCAACACAATATTTAAACAATTATGTTTATTCGGAACAATTATACACTAAAATCTACTTGGCCTATTTACAGATATATTAACTTAATTTTTTTTCCTTTCACACGATTCCGTTCTCTTGATGATCATCACAGTTCACTCCTTACACACTATTTATTTACACAGTTCTCTTCTTCTACAAGTTAACCAGCCAAGGTCCCTGGCCCACTTGTCCACTCCAAAGACCCAATTCCCTGCACAGACACAATCCCCTGGCAGACCACAATTCGCTTGCGCGAGACCACACGTTCTTTTCACTGCGCACACCAGGGTCCACTGCACTGCTGTTTACCGCGATGCCCACTTCACAGTCAGCTTCCACTGCAGACTTCACACTGCTGACTGCTGTTTCCCCACTGCACCACTGCTTACCTCGATGCACCCTTCACAGCTCAGCTTCCACTGCAGACTTCAGACTGCTGACTGCTGTTCAACCGCTGCACCACTCTTCACCGCAATGCACATTTCCAGCACACAGCTTCCACTTCGGACACACTGACGGACTGACTGTTCTCTGCTACTCACTGACGTCTTATACCTACTGACTTCTACTCACGTCTTCTACTAACTTCTTCTACTAACTGGACTCGCGGCCGCCGGCAGCGGCGAATTTATACCTGCCCGGCGCTTGTCTCCAGGCACCCAGCACATTCTCGGCGTTTCCCGCGGCTTCCCTCCCCCTCTCTCCCTCTTACCGTTGCACAGGTAAACACTTCGGTCCAAGGTGTTCGTATAAAATTTACAAAGTGACAAGAAGCGAGGGCGGTCTGTGAGCCATACTATTTCAGTACCACACCGCATGAGCAATAGATGACAAGAAACAAAAATTACAGTATTAGAAAAAACAATTTTTGAAAATTCTCATATTATGTAACAATAATTTCATACCACAAAGAATTTCATTGTGGCAATTAAATCATAATTTTGAGCAACTTGGGACGCTGAATTCGTTTCGACAAGTTATGCAAGTAAATTTCATAAAAGTACAAAAAATAAACACTTTATGTAATATATCAGTTTATGCAAATGACAATGAGCAATTGCTAGATAATTTTTAATGTATGAGAACCTAAGGTGATTTATTGAAACGAAATTTTAAAATTGGTGTTAATCATCTGATGGTGGATTGTATTCGGGGTCGTGTTCTAGTTGATGAGTTGGTACTGAATGAACTTCCCACTCTCCGTGGATCTCTGACTTCAAGGCAGGGGGTAGTATGCAGTCGTTCTCTAAGAATAATTTGGCGGCAAAATCTCCCATCATCTCTGACCAACCCTCTCTCTTTCAATAAGTCGTCTGAGGTTACTATGTAACAGTCACTATCCTCCTCAGAGAGTGTCAATCTAAGTAATTGTTGATTAGGGTTGCTTTTTTACGTCATATACGATTTAGAAAAGACAATTCTACGACGAGTTATTGGTTTTCCTTAAGCACTACATCCAAGTCCCATAGCCACCACGCACCAGTGTACCAGAAATACTACCGAAGAATAAGCATATGGCAAATCAGCTCGTAGCCCTGCTTTAACACGATAGTAGGGACAGAATCAAAAAGGAAGGACTGCGCTCGCGTGGTCTGAGGCTGGCGGTATAGCGTGCTGCTCCGGCATCCAACTGGATTTGATCGGAAAAAGACATGAAAACCACCGATCAGAACAGCAAGTCTCTAGACTTCTCAGCCAGTGAGTGCCATCACCCGACCCAGCTACTTAGCCTGGTCAAAAACTTTGGAGACAGAAACTGAGAATCTCCTGAACTACGAAGATCCCTTCGCAAACTCGCGTCTATTACTATAAGCCAAACACCGTGAACATTTTGCATCGGGAGCAAAGGGCAACTTTCCGCCGAAAAATAGACATGAACGAAGGAATCCACTTTTACATTAATACACATTTCCGAATTGACGGACGTTAGCTTTAGAATTAGGTGAACCTCAAGTAGGTTCCGATAGAGCGTCGAACAAATAATACTAGTCGCGTTTATTTCAGTATGAATATAGGAACGCATGTACAGAGGTATGCGATTTTCGGCCGAAAAACAACAGAAGCAACATGTCTCGGAAGACGTTGGCGATGGAGCTAAAATATTAAAATGAACAGACCCGAAGAAATGAGAATAAAGGGAAAACTCGCGTAAACGGAGCCCGGCGTTTCGACGTCTGCACGTTTCACTACCGAAATTTCTGTAAACCTTCTTATATTGACACGGCCACCCACTACGAAGCAACCAAGATCAAACGATCCGAGTTCTAGCAAACAGACCGTTTGAGTAGGGAAACGTGATGGGGCCTGACGTAAGCTATCTCAACCTGCATCCCTGGATACAGACAGGAGCATATACCTGGGGCGTAGATCCGCGTTCCAGGAAACGGACCGTATGCGAGGGATCTGACGTACGCTGTCCATCGCAATCCATATCCCTGGGCATGGACCGGGTCACAGACCTGGGCATTTTCTGGGTGTTCCACGTAAGGCGGCTCCACACATTCGGCATTCGCCGAGCAGCGAGCTGCTGCTCACCCAATCCCCAACGGCTGATGTGCTCGGCGAATGTTCGTCCCCTTTGATGTCCTACAGACCGACACGCGGTGGGTGGGGCGAATACCGAACGTTCGGCGCTCGGCGAATCGCGAGCAACACGTCCACACTACTCGGGATTCGGCGAGCGGTTGCTCGGGATTCGCCCAATGCCGCATGTGTAGAGCCGCTTTAAGGCGAAAACCGAATGTTCGGAGCTCGAGGACTGGTAAGCAGCCCGTCCACACTACTCGGAATTCGGCGAGCAGTTGCATGTCGCATGTGCGGAGCCGCCTTTAGGCAAAACTCGGCCCCGGGCAGCAGACCTTGCGGAACACCGCGCCCGAACGGGGGGC